GGGGTGGAGGGGAGCCTCAATTCTCCGGCATTACGCCATCGAAGAGGCTACCCCTCAAAAGCCCCCTGGCCTGGAGCCTATCACAAAGGCTCCTCGGGGGTGTCACTTGAGGTGGCACCCCTCCAGGCTGCTGGCATGCGAACCACCCTTCCCTGTCTTGGAAGGAGCGTCCGCCATCACAGTTCCATAGACCGGAAGTCAGGAGGAGGTGCTTTTCTACCTTAGCTGCCACTGCATAACACCCCCCTCCCCCTCAAAAAATAAGTTAGAGGTGGAGAGAACCATATCTGTTACCATGAGGTTCTCCTCCCATTCTACCCACTTGGGGCAGCGAAATGACTTGAGACAGCCCTGTCTTATAGCTAAGCAGAAGGAAAGAAACATGGCTTGCCTCCCTCCATTTTCCGCTTCCCTCTGCCGCCGCACCAGCCACAGTCGGGACACTCATTGGGAGCTTCCTTTTAAATCCCGTTGTATTTCTTCCCACTCCTAGTACTTTATATTTGGAATTAGTTGACAGAAACAGCATTTGAGGAGGGGGAATCTCTAGGGATGCTTCTCTTGCCTTGGTGGTCTGGTGTGGCTTAGGAGATAACAGTGTCTGCCTACCTGCTCAACCCTAAATCCCGTTGTATTTCTTCCCACTCCTAGTACTTTATATTTGGAATTAGTTGACAGAAACAGCATTTGAGGAGGGGGAATCTCTAGGGATGCTTCTCTTGCCTTGGTGGTCTGGTGTGGCTTAGGAGATAACAGTGTCTGCCTACCTGCTCAACCTATGTACTGATAAGCAAACAGTTACTATAAAGGCACCACAAATCTTCAGTATTTCCTCCACACAGAGAAGCTGAACCAGCAAAGCTACCCTCAGTTTTCCTCTTGCTCAAGGAAGTGGGCAGCATGAACCAGTCTGTCTGCTTCTAGATGGTGTTATTTAGCAGACAGAGGACCTTTGGGAGCTTCTTTGCTCATCTGCAGCCATTAAGTTAAAGATCCTGCTGATTGCTCTGCTGACAGACAGTGTTGTGCCCTTGGAGCAAGTCTTTGGTGATAGGATCAAATCTTTCAACAAATAATGGCAGTCTTTATTTCCCTCATCCTCCAGTGCTCATATTACTCGATCCCATTCGCCTCATTATTTTATAACCCTAACCTCACAAAGCAGCAACCTTTATGGCCTTGGCTATCTTGCAGTCTTCCAGTGTACCAGGGTATCCTATACCTTTTTGGGAAACAAGCCAGTTAGGCATGCCTGTAGTTTTCTGAAGATTTCTGTCTTGTGGGCTTCTGGTTTGTTTAGTTTCCTTATGGAAGGCAGAGGGTTTTCAGGTAGGCCTCAACCCTTTAAATATTAACTTCCATTACTGACTGAATAGGAAGACCTCTGGACTTTCTTAGGAAGCTGGCATTACCATTGCTGGAGGCCGAGGCAAGAAAACAATCTGTGATGGAGGCTGAGTTTCTGTGAAAGAGGTAAGCCTCAAGGGGGTGGGTGGGACATAAATGCATTTCTTCACCCTGTTTCTCACATGTTATGTCTGATGATTTGAATAGAGATTTTTTTTTCTTTTGCAAATACAGCTGCTGGGGATACTTTTTGAACAGAAATAGTGGGGATATGGCTCTTTAACCCTTTGTTCTCTTTCTGTTTTCTTGCTGAACCACTAAACCCCAGGGATGCTTTTACCCTCACTGTGAGGGTTACCCAGAAGGTCCTTGGGATGGCATTTTCCAGTAGGGAATAAATTCAAAAGGTTCCCTTCCCTGCACCATTCTTCTGTCTAAAAAGCAGTTCCAGCAGCTGTACTTGTGAAAGAAAAAAAAACTTTGAAAACGATCACAGCACTAAGTATTTTTTATTTTATTCATTTACAATATTTGTATCCTGCATATCTGCCCACTCAAGGCCACCAAGGTGGCTGATGCAGTTAAGCAGGTGGTAGCATGGAGTTCCACTACTTTAATATTTAATAGTTTAAAATATGAACCTTTTCTACCCCTTATTGCAGGTTTACCATGGCAGGCTAGCCACTCAGGTCACAGTGTCTGCCTGGAAGGGTTCGCCTGGTGTTGGCAGGGCTTGCTGGCAGCCGGCCTTTCGCTCTGCTAGTGAGGCTGCTTCTCCCAACATGGCCCTCAAGGAGCACGGGCTACACCTCTTCCGCAGCGCCGTGGGCACCGTCCTACCAGGTGCCATGATGAGGAAGGCCCTGGTTCTTGAGACAGGCAGATGCCCCAGGCTTGTGGTCCATGGCCGGCCTTTTGAACTGAAGAGGAACTTGTATCTGGTTGGTTTTGGGAAGGCTGTTCTGGGCATGGCAGCAGTGGCGGAAAGCATCCTTGGTGACCACCTTGTTAGAGGAATAGTAAGTGTTCCTCAAGGCATTCAGGCAACTCTGCAGCTCAAAGGAATGAGGTGAGGAAGCAGTGCCCTGTCGTTTGACAATAAATGCAGACTAAGATGCGGGGAGCAGGAGTTCTGTCAGCCCCTAGAATTCTCCCTTGAATTCTTGCTGACTTGACCTAACTTTAGTATCACTCTTGATTTTGCGCAGCTTACCACCAATCTTACATTCCTGCCAAAAGTTGCTAGCATCTAAACTTTCCCCTATAGAGAAGCTTGTTAACCAAAAGAAGATGAATAGAGCTAAATACAACCGTCCTGACAGAGAAGCTCTGAAAGCAGCCAGTGCCATCTGGTGTAACTAATGACCAACTGAGAATGTCAATTGGCACAGCCTTGCTGCTTTATAAATTAAAACTTATAACTGCAGGGGCCCAAATTGTCAAATTCATATCCTGTCCTTCCTCTAAGGGGCTTGAGACAATGGGTATGGTTCTCCCCTCCTCTGTACTTTCCAAACTTCCTGTGCCATTTTCACAATCTGAATCCCTCCTAGCTGCTATTTGTCTTGTGGAAGGGGAGGGGGAGGTACTTGTATGGGGCAAAAAGAGTCCCAGGGGTACAGTTTGGATAATTAAATAGTCATGGCCACCTTGTACCATGGCACTGATCCAAGCTGGATCGGAGCTGCAATTTAAGTGTTAAAAACAGCCATGGTTCTCCTGCTGCCACATCTAGTTTGGCCCTTAATGCCAACTGAAATCTGTCTGTGGTGTTTGACGTTCTGTGGGAGATCCAGGCACCAGCCTGCACACCCCTGGAGCTGAAAGCTGTCACCAGGCTTCTGTGTGAGGAAAACGCTGACCCTGTAGAGCTACTGGATTGTGTGCAGGCTCACTGAGCTGCTGGGAGCCAGCTTTCTTCAGTCTGTAGCACTGCCATATTTCTAAGGTGGGACTTCTTACCAAGGCTGGATGTCTATGTATGCTTTAGTGTCTTTGAAGAAACATGTACTTTCAGTAAGAAAAGTTCAGAAATTTTAACCTATCTATAATAAATATCTTCTTGAATCAACAATAACTTCCATAAGTTACTCCTTATCCCTTTTGAGCACTTTGTTAGACTGCCTCATACCAGCTAAAGAGGGTCCCCCCCCCCCGAATCACTGGAGCATGGTAGAGATAATCATGGTCTAGAAAAAATTAAGCATGGTGTATCTTGGGTGGGTGGAGTTTGAAGCACTACCACTTTGTGACTGTCTTTTGGAACTTTCATTCAAGAGCATTCATGGGATTCGGGCAAGTGTGGTTCAAGAGAGACCCGCTCACCTATTATTATTTTTTTTTAAATCTCTGCAGGGAGATGTTGCTGAAACCCCAGAGTTGCATCCAAGTCATAGAAGGAGCTAAGCACAACCTTCCCGACAGAGAATCTCTGAAGGCAGCCAATGCCATCCGGGCACTTGCCGAGGGCCTGACGGCAGAGGACCTTCTTCTAGTGCTGATCTCAGGTAATGTCTCGGGTTTGAGAGCCAGAGGTCCAGATTTCTTTCCTTCCGTTTGCTTTCTCAAAATCCTTCTTCCCCATTTTCCATTTTCCAGTCTGGTTTCTGTTTTCTTCTCCTTTGTGCATGCCGGAAGCCTCTCCATAAACGTGCTGGGCAAACTAGGTCACATTGTCTGTTTCAGAGAAAGCCGAACTGGAGCATGAAGTGGCTCAGAGTAGCTCCCAGTGTGACTGTCATGCTGGTGGCAGCTTCACAGCATGTGTCTTAGAATGTGCTCTTCTAATAGGCAGCGGCCTGCTCTCTGAGATGTGGCTCTTGCTGTCCTGTCCACTGGCTTCGGACATGATGTCATCGGTGATGCAGGTAGCGCATGTGTCACCTGCTCTCAGTTCTTGTTGCTCATCCATCCCAGAAGAAGAAGCTGCCATTCTGGAATCCTAGTGTGTGATCATGTCTTCTGGGTGACTGGCTGCTGTGGGAGACTGGCTCTTGGACGACTTAGATTTCTCGTCTCATCTAGCACAGCTTCTCCTGACATTCTTGTGAAAAAAAATATTACAATCGGGAATACTTAGTTTAAATATTTCTAATACTAAGCACTCCATTTACCTCACTGACATAGACTTCTAGTTCTGACAGGTAGTCTTGCCAGTTGTTTCTCTGCTATGTAGTACCGTTTTCCTCTTTTCTGTCTCTCACTCATGTTCTCCTGCCTCGTTTTTTCCTTACGCAGTAGTTTGAGATCTGAGGATCTCACATCGTAAACAATCTCCAGGTTAGATTTCTATTCTGATGTGGTCCTTTCCTCAAGCCTCACAAAGCGGTGCTCTTGCTTTTGTTTCTCAAGAGGCTTGCATGTGTTTGGAAGCAGCAAAGACAAGCTTTGCCCAGGAGGTGGCAGCACTGACTCAGAAAAAAAAATCATAAACGCAAAGGGCTGGGTATGAATGAGGATGCTAGGTACAGTAGGGCTAGAGAAACGGATCCCTGGTTTGCTCTGATTGGGATCTGAAGCCACTGAACAGGGTGTTCTGTATTTTCTTGATTTGGTTGTGTAATAATGGGACACATTTTCACCATTTCAAATTGGGTAGATGTCATAGTCAGTTATAGCAAAATCCTTATGGCAGCTTAATTTAGTGCAGCTTGAGCTCAAGCCCATTTCATCAGATCTATGATGTGCAGCCTCAGTCAGCAGTTATATCTACTCACAGATGGGAAATAATGTGAAAATTGGAGGCTAAAATAGCAGGAAAAGTAGGAGGCAACGTTTGTCACATTTCTATGCAAAAAGCACAGTGGCTGCTCACAAGAGCTATCATGGGGGACAACAAGTTAACCTACTTATATGAAGCAAATTCGTACTTGTGGGGGCAAAGAAAGGCAGAACAGCCTTTTTTCAAAATAGTTTGCCAGTAAAGACCATAATTGTCGCTAGGAGCAGCATTATCTGGTACAGAAATGGATGAAGAGGGGTTGCATCAGGGACAAAATTTGCAGAACTAGGGGAAGTTGGCCTATGTTGCATTCAGTATGCCTGTTAGATAAATGGGGACAAAATGCCTGTGAAATAAATGTTGCAATAACATTGCCTAGACACTATAATCAGCATGTAGCTGTATAGGATGGCCTTTCCCATTTACTTCACATAGGGTGCTGAGCCTTTGAAGATCTATATGGTTCAACATTATCTTGCTGGTATTCCTTAGGCTTAGGGCTGATAACACATCTTAAAACACCTAACCTTATAAAATGCTTTCAAGGTATAGATTCTCGCCCCCCAGTCTCCATAACTGTGTTCAACTGCTGAAAATTCTGTTTGGTGGCAATTTCATTGAGCTTTCCCTTGCCTTTTAGCTCTTTATGTCTGCAAAGACTTGGAGACCCTTAAAATCCTGCCACTGCCTGTTCTTCTTCTTTTTTTTTTTTAGAAGCCATTTGCAAAACTCCCCATTTTTAAAAAAAATTCCCTCTGCTGGCTAGATCCCTAGTGATTGATGAAAAGTCATGCGTTTTTCATTTGCTTTGGGTTTGACATGTTTTGAAGATGTTGTTCTCCAATCTCAGAGTGTTTATCCTTTAATGGTGCTGTTGGAATTCATACTGCGCTGCAGAGTTGCCCTCTCCCCTTTCCGTCACTCTCTTGATCACATCTCATCCTGTTAGTTGTGATCAGACATCCATTGCCCAGGCTCCACATGTGCCCTGTTGCTTGAGCTATTTTCTGTTTCCTTTGTTGACCCTCTCTTTCCCATCCCTCCATGTCACTTGCCATAAGCTTTTAGCTGCAGTTCAGTTCTCTGTTTCTATATTTAGTTTGGACTGCTGGTGCTTTTTTTTTAAAAAAGCGCTTCTCATTATGAATGAGGTCAATAAAACAATGAAGACTGCAAATCCTTCCTCTCTCTTTCTCTCCCCCTTGGAGCTGTCCTGTTTTCTCTAGTATAGGAGCAGCAAACTCAAATGAATTGGAGGGTCAGCCTGCCCATCTAACAAACCACCATTTATCATAGAAAAGTCACTGGGTTTAATGTGTGAGAAAGTGGGAGGATCCGTGGTTACCTTCAAAATTATACCCTTTACCACCCAATCCCCTTGTGCTATTCTTTAATTTCCTACCTGTCACATTTTTCACCAGCACCATCTTTGCCTCCAGTTCTCTGCCCTAGACTTGTGCACCCTCTGAAGCTCCCAGTTCAAAGCCTCCAAAAGATCTCCCATCTGCCCCTGCATGCCCCCAGCCTCAGTATCCTTCTCACCTAAATTTGCTTCTCTATAGACCATCACCACCGCACTTCACACCCTTCCCTCTAGGCTGCAAAGACCACTAAACTGACATTCCCCAGTCAGCTGCTCTGTTTTTGTCAATGTATTAAAAAGGTAAAGGTAAAGGTTTCCCTTGCTTGAAAGCCAGTCGAATCCAACTCTAGGGGGCGGTGCTCATCTCCGTTTCCAAGATGAAGAGCCAGCGCTGTCCGAAGACTTCTCCGTGGTCATGTGACCGGCATGACTATGAAATAAAATGAAATAAAATAAATAAATAATGGGCAACTGTTGACTTTTACTGCACTTGTGCCTTAATTGTTTTAACTTGTATTTTTATCACACTTTTGTGCCTGTGTAAGCCGCCCTGAGCCCGCGTGCGGGGAGGGCAGGGTATAAATGAAATGAAATAAATAAATAATGACTAAACACCGAGGTGCATGCAACGCTGTTACCTTCCCACCGAGGTGGTACCTATTTATTTACTTGCTAGGTTGGCTGGAGCCGGAGACGGGAGCTCACTCCATCGCGTGGCACTCAGGTCTCGAACTGCCAAGCTATAGACCCTCTGGTCTGCAACTCAGCATCTTACCCTCTAAGCCACCGCGGCACTACCGTCAATGTATTACACTCACCTATACT